CCAGTGAAGAAATGGGCAGAAGATATGAACACACTTCTCCAAAGAGGACATCCAGATGGCCAACAGACACATGAAACGATGCTCAGCATCCCTCCTCATCAGGGAAATACAAATCAAAACCACACTGAGATACCACCTCACGCCGGTCAGAGTGGCTAAAATGAGCAAATCAGAGAACTCTAGATGCTGGCGAGGATGTGGAGAAACGGGCACCCTCCTACACTGTTGGTAGGAATGTAAACTGGTACAGCCCCTCTGGAAAACAGTGTGGAGGTTCCTCAAAAAATTAACAACAGAACTCCCCAATGACCCAGCAATAGCACTGCTAGGAATTTACCCAAGGGATATAGGAGTGCTGATGCATAGGAGCACGTGGACCCCAATGTTGATAGCAGCACTCTCAACAATAGCCAAAACATGGAAAGAGCCTAAGTGTCCATCAACGGATGAATGGATCAAGAAGATGTGGTTTATCTACACGATGAAATACTACATGGCAATGAGAAAGAATGAAATCTGGCCTTGTGTAGCAACATGGATAGAACTTGAGGGTGTTATACTGAGCAAAATAAGTCAGGCATAGAAGGACAAATACCATATTTTTGCACTTATAGGAGGATTAGGAGGAACATCGGGGAGAAGAAGGGGGGAAATAGTGGGGGAGAGGGAGAGAGGCAAACCATGAGAGACTCTTGAATGCTGAGAACTGAGGACTGATTGGTAGGGAGAAGGGGGAGGGGAGCATGGAAGAGGGCACTTGTGGGGATGAGCACTGTGTGTTATATGGAAACCAACTTGACAATAAACTATTTGTGTAAAAAAAAAAAAAAAGAAAATGTTCAAATATGGTTCAACCTTATCAAGGCAAAAACAAGGACTTTATACATTTTAGCAAATAATTTTAAAACCATTGTATCCTAAACAAGTCCTGGCAATTAATGGGTAGTTAATTAACAGAAATATCAACACAGATCTAGGACTTTTCCCAAGTGACTATGACTTTTACTCAAAAAGAGAGTAGGGTAAATACTCCGATAACTTTTACTTACCAGTGGGGAGATCTTCAACTTTTGCAAGGTCATTCTCTTCTATTCCAGGCATTCCTGCATCACCACCTCGTTTGATTTGTTCTGCCCAAGAACAAAAGATGTAATTCTTTATTTGTCCTTACATATATTGAAAATGATTTGAAGGAATGTAATAATCAGTTTCTAAAGCAATAGGCTACATTCACTGCATATCTTTATATCTTGTTTTGGACACAGCTGTAACACTAAAACAATTTATTCTTTTTTTCTTCTCTATCAAAATATTCAAATGTGAAACAGCACTAACACCTATTCACAACTGAACTAAAATCAAACAGTATTCTTTATGACTGAAAATGCTCACTTAAAAATGAGAAGAAAAAGTCAATATCCTATTAATACAAAACAAAATAATAGTAATACCTTTCCCATGTGGAATATGATTGCTTGAGGGTTCTTCATTCTTATCTGCAGCATTCTCAGGTTCTTTCAGAATGTTTTTAGGTACTGCATGATTGTTTATACCCAACTCGTTTCCATCTTTTGAATCAAACTTGTTTGACTCCTGCTGTTAAATAAAGATTTGGTAACAGTTAATAGTTTTCATTTCAAGATTAAACAACACAACTGCTAAATGTTCTGAAACAGTTCGTTTTTTGAAACATATACTATGGGTCCAAATTCCAAACACTTGAATATATGGGATATAATATTATTTTCTGTTCAGTTTTTATACCTAATACGAAATCAAAGAATAACACTTTTTAAAGTTTCTAATTATAGTAAATGGTCTAAAATGTTAGGCAGAGGTAATTCTCTCTGGCTATGCTGAGGGAATGATTCTGCAAGAAGACAGTCTTGCTGAGCACTGTAGACTGCTATGGAGACCTACAGTTGGGCAGTGAGTTAGGTGCTATGGGCAGGGTGGGTTCTCTATAGGCCTGTTATAATCGAGCAGGATGGTGGACTACAGGAGGTTGGCACATGGGAGACGCCTGAAGTGTGATAGATGGTTAATGACATCGCCAGGATTTTCGAGAAGCTGAAGCAGCAAGGTTGGAAAAGAGGCAACCTTGTTCCTAGGTGCACTGGCCACCCAACACAGAAAACAGCAGAACAATACGCAAGTCAGTACTCCTTCCAACATGCTTCTAACTCCATCATCTCTTTGGCAACTTGAATCTTCAGGTACCTGTTTAGACCTGACTCAATTCTATTGGTGGGCCAGTTTTGTTTTTTATATTGGTTGAGTGGCCTCAGTGAAAAAATGGGAGAGGCAAGGAGTTAAATACACATGCTTGTGTTGCCACATAGGTCCTTGTACTTAATATTTAATATATATAGAAATGTTTTGCCAACTCTAAAGCACTATGCAATTATAGTTATAGCATAATAATTACAACATTATAAAAAACAGCAGTATTTTAAAAATCCACAGGAAATCTAGAATAGCAAGAGCCAAATTATAAGAATTTGTCACAATAAAGATGACTAGGTGTTTTGACAATCAGGTATAGGTATTCCAGTGTGTGTGGCAGATAAAATTAACCATAAACATTTGCACTCTGCTTCATTGTTTACAAACTATTTTTTTCTTTTTTTTTTTTTTTAAATTTTTAGTGTTTTATTTATTTCTGAGAGAGAGAGACAGCGTGAGCAGGGGAGGGTCAGAGAGAGGGAGATACAGGATCCAAAACAGGCTCTAGGCTCTGAGCAAGCTGTCAGCACAGAGCCCTACGCGGGGCTCGAACCCACGAACCGTGAGATCATGACCTGAGCCCAAGTCGGACACTTAACCGACTGAGCCACCCAGGCGCCCCTACAAACTATTTTCAAATCTATCCTCCAGAGGCGCCTGGGTGGCTCAGCTGGTTAAGTGTCCAACTCTTGATTTTGTCTCAGGTCATGAGCTCATGGTTCATAGGACTGAGCCCATGGTGGGCTCTGTACTGATAGCACAGAGTCTACTTGGAATTCTCCCTCCCTCTCTCTCTGCCCCTTTCCTGCTTGGGTGTGCTTTCTCTCTCTCTCTCAAATAAATAAATAAACTTAAATTTTAAAAAAAGAAGTAATTGATTTGTCAGTAAAGTTGTATCCACTTTACAATCTGAGAAATATATTAATAGCAAAAATTATTTTTAAAAGTCAGATAAAAACATTTAGCTCAAAATTAGTTTTAAGAGTTGAGGTTATATTTTTGCAAATGTCTAATTCACTCAGCAATAAACCACTATAAGTCATTTTTTCAATTAGGCAGGCTAGAATACTTAAAAATGTAATGTTTTATGACAAAAGTACATATTTTCATTTTAAAAGTATATATTTAAATTACAAGATTTATAACATGAACATATTTTGATTTAAGTATTTTTAAATTTACCTTTTGTTCCTGCAAAAACTGGTCTGCTAACTTTTTAATATTTTCCTCATGCTGTGCTCTTAACTCCTTGATCTGTTGTCCACACTGAAAACTAAATTACAAAGTCATTCTTTTAGGCTATATTATCTTGCATTGACTTCTCAAAGTTGTCTAGAAGTTGAAAACATACATCTATAAAGCATTCAGTTAGCGGGAGAAGGGGCACAGAAGGACAAAGCAGGCATAAAAATAGATCACAGTCAAAATTCCTAGAATATTTGAATCTTTAATACAGGATAAAGAATACTGATAAAGCTAATTAAAATAACAAATTAGAAAGGTAAAAATCATTTTTATAAAGTTTTATTCATAAAGAAACAAATATCAAAGCCAACTTCAGTCACAGAAGAGAAAAACCCAAGAGAAAACCATGAGACCAATATATAGTAATAAATGAGAAAACAGAATTATAAGAGGTGATAAGGAGTGGCAGCAGATGATTCATCCAATAGTTCGCATTTTCAACACAATATTAAGAGTCTATAAACTTTAAGAAGAGCAAGAATGGAAGAAACCAATAAACAAGAGAATGGAGTCATTCATTTCTCTTCAGAGAAAATGTGAAGGAACAAAAACAAAGATCGGGAATTTCCAGTGGACAAGTAGTCAAAGAATACAAATACACCATTCATGCAAAAAGAAAGACGTAGTTAAAAATATACAAATGTTAACTTTCAGCATTAAAAATGCAATTAAATTTCCTATATGTATATATGATAGTATTTTATTCCTAAATTAGCAAAATTAAGTCCAAATTATAAAAGCTAATGTTGGTGTGGCTGTGGGGAAACATTTACATTATAAATTAGTACAACCATTATAGAAAACAATCTTTCATGTATGTGATAAAAGCAACAAAACAAAAAAACATTCTGTCTCAGGAATTCTATATTTGAGAATATACACCAGTGAAATAACATGAGAGGGAGAAATCCTTTTTACATAAAGAATTTTATAGCTGATATTCATAATAGTAAGATAAGGAAAATAGTTCAGCGATTGGGAGAGATTAAACAAATTTTGGAACATTAACATGCTGGAATAATAAATTACGTCTGAATATACTAACCCTTTAATCCTACTGACATACTGAAAATTATTGAATACTGTCAGCTTAAAATACATTTATATAAGTAGATGCATACTGGTAACCTATAAGACTAAGAAATCAGAAATGGATAAGCCATGCTTTGAAATGTGTTGAATCTTCTAAATTTTGGTATGCAGTCCTAAAAAGTACCCTTTACTAAAAAATGGATTAAAGATATATAACAAAGGTTTTTAAAGAGTGATTGCTACAAAGAGGTTCCCCAAGATCATCAACAATTTAGTGCAGAGATGTACCAAGGGGACTGAAATGCCAAACAGAAGAAGCAGCTGGCACCCAGTCAGACCCTCAGCTATTCTGGGGACCTCTCTCAGAATCGGCTTCATCTTCTAGATGCTTTTCAGAAAGAACCACAGAATCTTCTTTCAGTCTTTGCACATCTAACGCAATGAAACTTGGGCCTTGTAAGATTTTCTGACTCAAAATGAACTCTGCTATATGGGCAGACTAAACATATCTTCTAAAAGGTATTCTCATAGTGTTTAACATATCAAAATAAGAGTTTGGATTTCAAAGAGGCATAGGGAGACAATAGAAAAGAAACTTTAAAAATCTAAGAAAATTAAAGAAGAAAAGAAAAACAGAAGCCAGAAAGGAAAAAATAAACTGTCCAAAAGCTGGACACATATTCCAGATTCATAGCTATATAGTTTCTCACCTCTCATATTCTAACCTCTTCACAAGGTACGTAGTGTTCTTCCTATAGTCCTGAAGCTGGTCTTCTTGTCGAAGAAACTCCTGACGAAGCTCAGCAAGTTGCTCTATCCAAACAAGAATCAAAGGAATAAAGTTTACTTACTCTAATGCTTCTGATCGAGAAGTTACAGGATTTTAAAAACTTATGTACACTTCTCAATTTCTTTACTCAAACTCTCAGGGAATTAAATTATATAAATAGTACCACATTTAATTGCCTTTTATAACATATGCATAAACTTATCTGCTTTATAAAGGTGTTGGGTGGCTCAGTCAGTTAAGTGTTCAGCTTCAGCTCAGGTCATGATCTTGCGGTTTGTGGGTTCGAGCCCTGCACTGGGTTCTGTGCAGATAGCTCAGAGCCTGGAGCCTGCTTCAGATTCTGGTCTCCCCCCCACCTCTCTCTGCCCCTCCCCCACTCACGCTCTGTCTCTCAAAAATAAATAAAAATGTTTATAAAGGTGGGGGAAAATCATATTTTTTACATATACTGGCCATGGATATAGAATTCAAGGTTTCCTTCTCATTCTGAATCACACCTGACTCCCAGCTTAAGGTGCCAATCACTTTAGATCTCTTTTTTAGTTCTGCTACTAATGCTAGGTCCACATAGAACCTAACTGCATTTTCAAAGCTCATAATTCCTGGACAAGAGTTAAGAGTTTTAGTTGTAAAGAATAACATGAAATTCTAAGCTGGACAGTAGATTGAAAGTGAGGCCAGCTGCTCTTTTGTGAGCATTTAATACATAACCACTGGCCCCAGATTTTCTACAGTTGGTCCCTCTTCATGTGACCCTACAAATAAAAGAAATTCAGCCAGAGAAGAGAAACGTAGTTTCTTAAATAGATGATTAAAATAGGGGTGCCTGGGTGGCTTAGTCGGTTGAGCGTCCGACTTTCGCTTAGGTCATGATCTCGCGGTTCGTGGGTTTGAGCCCCGCGTCGGGCTCTGGGCTGACTGCCAGCTCAGAGCCTGGAGCCTGTTTCAGTCTGTGACTCCCTCTCTCTCTGATCCTCCCCTGTTCACGCTGTCTCTCTCTCTCTCTCTCCTAGAAATAAATAAAAATATTTAAAAAAATAGATGATTAAAATAGCCTTAGATGTAAGCAAAAGTAGTAGTTAAGAAAGACTTAATTAAAAAAAAAAGTAACAATAAAGTTTCCAGTTAAAAAAAAAGTCTTAATTTTTATAAATGGCAACAGAGGTCTTTTCTGTATAAGTAACATCTATTATGATTAAAATGAATCTAACCATAATATACAAATATGTACTTTTCATGGAAGACTTCTAAAATTAGCCTTATTACTTTAAAGGCACTCCAAAAATGCTTGGGATTTAAGTTTTTCAAAAGCAAATGTAAACAAATATTTATAATGTAATTATATTTGTGTAAAAAACTAGACTAGAATAAAAATCCATCAAAGTACTATCAGTGATTATGTTCAGTGGTAGGATTCTGAGGGTATTTTTTTCTCTTTCTAAATTTTATTGTGGAATCATAACTGTGACAATGACAACAAATAAAAATTTTTAAGTTGGATGAACATTTGCTGAGGCAAATAGTTTAACAGATGCATAATAATAGTTTTTGTATAGTATAATAATCAAGTGTGAAAAGTTAACGAGTCACATAAAATGCTTGTAGTTGAAAATTATGTTTCTACACTCAAGCCACTTTTTTGGTTTATTTAAAAATGTTTTGAGATATAACATTTATAAGTGTAAGGTATACAACATGTTTATTTAATTTGCTTGTATACTGTGAAATTACCACTGAAGCATTAGCTAGCACCTCCATCATCTAACATAATCACCATTTCCTTTTGTGGTGAGAACATTTAAGATATACCCTCTTAGCAATCTTCAAGTACATAATACAGTGCTGTTAACTATAGTCATCATATTGTTTATTATATCCTCCAAACTTACTCATCTTATAACTGAGAGTTTGTACACTTCAACCAACATCTCATTTTCTCTACCCCTCCAACCCCTGGTAACCACCATTCCATTCTGTTTCTATAAGTTTAATCAAGCCACATTTTAAATTTCTTTTTACTCTACTAATTCTTCAATATATAAACATGGCTGATCTCCATAGTTTTTCATCCAGTACCTCCACCTCAGATAAAAGTAGCAAATATGATACCAGGTATCCCTGAATAACATTCTGTTTGTTACTTGTTCCCTGGCCCCATCTAGAGAACTACCTCTAGAGATCTAGAGGCAGCAGAAACTATGGCCTCAGCTATGTTTATTGATTCTACAGAGACAATGAGATCCCAGCAGGAGGCAGTGACAAAAGGCCTTGTAGCTTATACAGTTAGCCAGTTCAGTGAACCTGTGTTCAGGCAGGAAAGGTTCTAAAACTAAAGTTACTACAATTAAAAAAAAAGGAAAATGAGCACCACCTAGCAGCTACTAGAGAATGGCCCTCAACTGGTGGATTTTAGGACTCATTCAGGCTTCTTTTTCCTACAAAGTAGTCTAACCGAAGTAGCTAAGTTTAGCTTCAGAATGAACCTGAGGCTCAGTATGATTTCAAGATTTGGGATGGCTTCTCTTCTCCCCACAAAGCTTCTCACTAACAACATTTGAAATTCCTTTACCAAGAAGTAAAGTTTTAGGGCGCCTGGGTGGCTTAGTCGGTTAAGCGTCCGACTTTCGCTTAGGTCATGATCTCGCGGTTCGTGGGTTCGAGCCCCGCGTCGGGCTCTGTGCTGACTGCCACCTCAGAGCCTGGAGCCTATTTCAGAGTCTGTGTCTCCCTCTCTCTCTGACCCTCCCCTGCTCGCGCTGTCTCTCTCTCTCTCTCCTAGAAATAAATAAAAATATTAAAAAAAAAAAGTAAAGTTTTATTTCTAAATTGAGATAAAAGGCTTAAAATACAATTGATAAAAACAAAACATCAATATGAGTGAGTTCTAGTCCATTTAAAATATCTGAACCTTTCCTGTTTTGGACAAAGAAAGGATTAGCAGGGAGCTAATTGGTTATTTGAGGGAGTCAATACAAAGACCAGGAAAGGGAGAAAAGTAAACAGATCAGAAAGCAAAACTAAAGACAAAAATTTCCTCCATGACAATTTTACTTTCAACTGATTGCCTTGTGTTTTCTTTATTTTGGACCCAAATATACTCTGTGTCTGCTGGGGTTGTTCCAGGTCACCACAGCAGGATTCTCAGAGTGACTTAAACATGCGATCAAGTCAACAGCTGATTGTGCAGGATGTTCTACTTCTGACAGTAACATCAGAGTATGTTACAGACAGGCCTGGCCATATTCTTTCAATTTAACTTCAAAAGATTAGGGATGCAGTTAAGAAAGAGGTTCCTTAGGACCAATTTTAAAAGCAAAAAAAAAAAAAAAAATTTACTTCTAAAATATTTTGATTTCAAATTTTCTCAGTAATAGGCACAAAAATAAAGTGAGCCATTCAACATAAAATGGTGTATACTAGAACGTTAATTTGTTATCTCGGGAATCAAAAACCAACTCTCATTCCTTTCATTTCCAAAAAAAATATTAACTACCATAAGATTTAGGTCTTAGTGTGTATTAATTCCATTATATCTAGTATTAATTTCAACAAGGGCAGCTGGGTGGCTCAGTCAGTTAAGCATCCGACTTCAGCTAAACCATGATCTCATGGCTTGTGAGTTCAAGTCCTGCATTGGGCTTTGTGCTGACAGCTCAGAGCCTGGAGCCTGCTTTATATTCTGTCTCCCTCTTTCTCTGCCCCTCCCCTGCTCACATTCTGTCTCTCTCACAACAATAAACAAACATTATAAAAAACTTTTTAATTTTCAATGAAAATAGTCCAATCTGGATTTTATAGTTGACTTGTCAAGAAGTTTGCTTCAGTAGAAATAGTTCCTAAAGTGCAAAAGTCACATTAAAAGGAAATTCAATCTTAAGAGTCCAAGCTTGAGTAACTGCACTAAAATCAAAAGTTGTACAGTTATGAATACAAATCAAACCTGTTTTTTTCTGCTGAAGAGTATCATAAAAAATTTCAAAACATCTCAAGGTCTATTTCAATGCACACTATACAATAAAGGTTTTCACTCAGTAACATATGCTGTCATTTTCTATGAGGTAGACTAGGAGGCACTGGATTTCTTACTCAACTGATCTACTATTATTTCATAGAAATATACTTTGATGACATGCAGAATCATTTGTAAAAATAGTAAGCAGGAAGCAGCACTGACAGAGTGGCATCTTCTGTGTCATCATAATGTACTCCTGTGAGTCAAAAAGACTACAACAAGGGCACAAATGCCACAAAAACAAATGTGGCCACCCAGGAAGCAAATTTCTAAGAGAATGTCAAAGCTGTCCTAAGTCATAGTAAAAAATTAATAATTTCTATTTCAGGTTATAACACACAAAAAACACTTCCTAATGATTTGCTAGATGAAGAGCAAAAACTTCAATAAATTACAAAGCCAGCTGAGGTTGGCGTCTTCAAGAGGATAATAAAAATCTATTATCTAATTCCATCTAAGGAGGGTCAAAATTGCTATAGAATAAAGATATATTTATGAAATTACAGAGCACCTATTACCCACATACAAAAACTCAGAGTCACTGCATGCAAAGTTTTAAAATATACAGTGTTGGGGGCACCTATGTGACTCAGTCAGTTAAGCATATGACTCTTGATTTTGGCTCACGTTATGATCTCACAGTGAGCCTCCACTGGACTCTGTGCTGACTGCATGGAGCTGCTTGGGTGTCTCTCTTCCCTCTCTCTCTCTCTCTGCTTTACCCACCCTGGTGTTTGTGTGTGTGTCTGGTGTACCCACAGTACATGCATGCACTCTCAAGATAAATAGACAAATATGTAAAAACAATAAAATATAGAGTTATTTTTATCACAGGGGTGCCTGGGTAGCTCAGTCAGTGGAGCATCTGACTTTTGATTTCAGCTCAGGTCATGATCTCACAGTTCATGAGTTCAAGTTCAGGCTCTGCACTGATAGTGTAGAGTCTGTCTCTGCACTTTCCTCGCTCATGCATGTGCATGCTCTATCTCTCAAAAATAAGTAAATAAGCACCATATATATGTACACATACATACACATAGTGTAGTAACCAATGGGTATAAGGGAGAAGAGGGGTCCTCTTCAGACCCCAAACTTCACATGCTGCTGATGGTATGAAGTAATGTAAGCACAGCATAGAACTTGTTCACCATACCAATTATTTTTTATAAAACCTTTAGTCATTTTCTATCACTTCATCTAAGTGAAAAATATATATATATATACACATACACATGCACACACACAGTATATCGATCTATGTATTCATCTCTCTATCTATCTATCTACAGGTTTCCTCCTGATTTCTTTTCAAGTTTTCTTTCTGTTCTAGGTTTCTTTTTGTTCCCAGGGTATCTAAAACATGAAGCGTAGAGGACCTGTCTAAAGCATTCCTAGACCTGAATGGATTGTTTTAGCAGTTAGACACAGTACAGAGGGATTACCCCTTACCTTTTCCCTACAAATTTGATAGCTTTTGAAGCTATACCTAAATTTTGTTCGAGCCTTCTTTTAACATTTCATTGTATGAAACTGTCTACGCACAAGATTAAAATTCAAATTTTAACTTTTAATATGTATAAAGCAACATTAAAATTCTTTTATGGTATCTTAAAAGGAAAAGATAAACATTTTGCCATCAGAGAAGCTTTGTTCAAAAGGTTTTATTTCATTTAGCTGTCTAGCTATTTCTTAATTTTTGAGGATATTAGATTTTTAGTGACCTTTATCTTTAATCTGTAATTAAGTTTCTTACCCTTTAAATGATGTATATCTGCCATCTGATATGATATGTTGCTCTGTAGCTTAATCTGAAAAAACAAATTAAATTTTCATTTTAGTACAGAATATGCAGTTTTGCTCATATTTCCTTTTTCCCCCTCATATTCACTTTAATTTTGATCATAAATGCAAAGGAAAAATCTTTAAGTTATACATACCCACCTCTTTCCAAAAAGAATTAGAGAGAAATTTTGATTTTGTAATACTTTAAGTTTGCAAAAGAATATTCATTTTATTTAATATATACTCTAATAACTTTCAAACATTTAAAAATTTGAGTTGAACATTGCTTCATGATATCTTCTTTCAAAATCTTACCAGATGAGACCTCTTGCTAACTCTATATTAAGGAAAGAATTAATTGTTTGAATCAGTTAATTTCAAATCAAAAGTAATTGATGCTTATCAAGCTCCCAAAGGATGACACAAAGTACATAGGACCTGTTGTTGTGGTCAATGTCCTTCAAGAGCCAGTAGACAAGAACAATAGGAACTTTAAAGTGTACGAAAATATGACTCAAACCAAGGCTTAGCACTTAAAATTAAGGCAATGTCTTTGAAGGCCAGGATGTCATCCACAAAGAACTACTGTCCCCGTTCTTGCTTAAACAGGTATCACTCAATTGTAAAATACAACTATACTATCACTACAAACAGGTTGTCTTGTCAACCTCAAAAGTAAAGTTGACTTTGAAAGCATACACAGATTCACAGTGATCACAGGCAGGACCATGAGTGCCAAAATGATTATGATAAATAACTTTTCAATCTCTAAAGAGAAAGTTTTAAGCTTCTTACTTTGAAATAATTATATATTTGTAAGAAATTGCAAAGATAACACAGAGAAGTCCCATATATACTTCATCCAATTCCCCCAGTACATACATTCTATGTAACTATAACACAACATCAAAACCAGGAATCTGACACTGGTACAATGTATATGTATAATTCTATGTCATTTTCTCATATATATATACATAGATTCACATAACCACCACAAAGGTACAGAACTATTCTATAATCACAAAGATGTCCCTCATACTACCATTTATATTCAAACCTATCCTCCTTCCTCATACTATTTCTAATCCCTGGTAAATATTAATTTTTTTACCATCTCTGCAATTTTGTCATTTCAAGAATGTTATATAAATGGAATCATATGATATGTGGCCTCTTAAGATTTCTTTTTACTCAGTATAACACACAGTTGCTACATATATCAATAGTTCTTTCGTTTTTATTGCTGAATCGTATCCTGTGATATGAATGTACTATAGTTTGTTTAAGCATTCAACTATTGTATAACATGTTGGTGGTTTCTACGTTGTGGCTATTACAAATATAGCTGCTATGAAAAAATGTGTACTGGTTTTTACATGAATGTTAGTTTTAGTTTTCATTTCTCTGGGATAAATGTGCACAAGTGAGGTTGCTCCTTTTCCAAAGTGGTCAAGACATTTTCATTTACTTACTAGTGCCAAGGTACTGGGTAGGAGAGTACAAAACAATTGGAAAACATGAGAACAGTATCAAGGAATCAGTAGGCAAGCTTAGCACCTAAAGCTGTGTAATTACTGTAGGAATTCAGAGATGGTTCTTAGCTGATCTGACCAGGAAAGCTGCATGGAAGGAATTTTATTTGAATTAGTCGTTGAAGGCGAGGAAAAATGGTAAATAGGTAGGAAAAAGCATTCCACATAGAGACGATGGCATAAGAAAAGGTACAGAGGCAAGAAAGCATGAGACATGTATGAAGATCTGATCAAAATATTGTTTGGCTATAGCAAATGATACAGTAGAAAAAACAGTGTGAAAGAAGGTTGGAGAAAAGACGATGGAGGGGCCATTCAGCCCTAAGTAGAGTCTACTCTTCAAACAGAGAGCCAGTGACCTTCAAATTTCAAATGAAAGTTTATCCATAACAAATAACTAAAGAAAGCATCCCTATTCCAGTTGAAAGAGAAGTGGGAATCTACGGGGTCTTACCCTAGAATCCTGACTGCTTTGAAGAATGAAGCTTAAAATATAATGTTGATATTCAGTCATAAAAAGGAATGAGGTGCTGGTACCTGCACTTCATTGGATGTGCACACTCATATGGATGAGTCTTGAAAACATATATGCTAAGTAAAAGAAGCTAGTCACAAAAGGACATGGGGTTTCTTTGTGTGGTGATGAGAATGTTTTGGGGGCACCTGGCTGGCTCAAACAGTAGAGCATGTGACTCCTGGTCTTGGGGTTGTGGGTTGTAGCCCCACGTTGGGTGTAGAGATCACTTAAAAAAATCTTTTAAAAAACTGTTCTGGAATTAGTGGTGAAAGCTGCACAGTATTGTCAATATCCTAAAAACTAAACTGAAGTATATACCTTAAAAGGGTAAGTTTTATGATATATGAATTATATCTCAATTTTTTAATGCAAAAAAATAGAAATGGAAATGCCGAGGGTATTATGGAGCACCAGACATGAAACTGGGGATAAAATGATGGGTAAACTCTAGGCACTCAAGGAGTTTATTATTTTGGAGAAGCAATCAAATAGTTAATTCTAATATAGTAAGATAAATGCTATTATCAGGTCCTGCAGATATGATGAGAGAACTTAGTAGAAGCACTTAAATCCTTAGGGGATAAAACACCTTAAGGGAGTGAGGAGAGGTTTCTGGAGATGGATGATAGCTAAAATGTGTCCAGTATGAAGAGTGGTGTTTTGCCAGGTGAAGTAGGCTGAGGGTAAGGGGAAAAGATATTGAAGGCATGTGTCAAAACTTCGAAGTAAAAAATACTACACACTACAGAAACTACAAGCAGTTTTAAGCAGCTGAAGCAGAGAGTTAGAAGGAAGTGACAAGAAACATGGCTTAGAAAGGTAAGCAAGGTCCACATTATGAAGGGTCTTGCCAAAAAATGTGGGTACATTCCAATGGCTATGGTCAACATTCAAAGGACTTCAAGCAAGGTAGAGCGATCCAATTCACAATTTAGAAAAGTCAAACTGGCTTCAGTATGAGAAGCAGACCAGAGGGAAAGACTAGAGAGAGGGAGACCAGGTAGAAGAGTAGAAGACTACTGTTGTATTTCAGGTGAGAAAATGATGGTCTAAGACAGGGGTGGGCCAACTATAGCCTGTGAGCATCTGGCCTGCTTCTGTTTTTGTAGGGATGACAAACTAAGGATGGTTTTTACGTTTTTAAATGGTTGGGGCATAGGAAAAACAAAAGAAGAATACTACTTTGTGAATTATATACAATCCAAATTTCAGTGTCTATAAATAAAGTTTTATGGGAAACAACCAAACCCATTCATTTGGTCCTTTATAGAAGAAGTTTGCCAACCGCTGGTCTAAACTAATAGAATGAGAACAGAGAGATAAATACATGTGGGAGCTATTAAAAGGGAAGAGTGAATAATCTTGCTGACTGATTAGATACAAGGGTAAAAGAAGAAACATCAAGGATAACGTTTAGATTTCTAAAGTAGGAAACCAGATGAGTAAGGTGGCAGTGCTCTACAATAGGGAAACAGGAGAAATGGACTTGGGATGGGAGGGAGAGCGGGGGGATGATTTTTACAAATTTGGACCTGTTGAATATGAGGCACTTGTGACACACCTGAGAAGAGATCTTGTAGTCAGCTGGATATATAGGTCTGGAGCTTGGACACCAATGATTTGAGAATCATTAGCATATGAATGGCAGTTAAAGCCACAGGAATGAGATCACTGATGGAAAGCTGCAGAGACAGCAGGAGAAACTGACACCAATTCCTAGGTGATCAGTTGTTGATGACTAAGAACTGCTCTCCAATAATGTGTAATTAGCCTATGTTTATGTTCTTTCCCACTTCCTTTATTTTAATGATCCAATTTCCTTTTTGCATTTTTTGCCCCTCCAAAGAACATAGCCACCTTTTATTCTTGTTTTCAACAAGTTTGTATTACTTCGGTTTTTATCCATTTTTATGATGTTATTCCAACGTCTCTGCACTCTTTATTTTAAATTTGCTTTTGAAATTGCTACAGATATGCTATTCTTAAAAGCTAGGCCATGAGTGGCCTCAGCTTCCCTGAACTGTCTCTTTTATATCCTTGTATACTTTTAAAAATTTTTAATGGAGGAAGGGAAATTCAATCTACAGACCACAAAAATAGTACAGAATTATATGGGCAGTACTGCTTTATTCTTATCATTTTAATTTTCTCTTCAATCTTCCTTACTGAGAATGGAGACATTGATCCCAATAGCTCATATGTAAAGCCCTCACATTTCAAAAACTGCTCTGGAACAAGAATCTATAAGGAACTCACCAAAGTACACGCCCGAAAAACAAACAACCCAGTGAAGAAATGGGCAGAAGATATGAACAGACACTTCTCCAAAGAGGACATCCAGATGGCCAACAGACACATGAAACGATGCTCAGCATCCCTCCTCATCAGGGAAATACAAATCAAAACCACACTGAGATACCACCTCACGCCAGTCAGAGTGGCTAAAATGAGCAAATCAGAGAACTCTAGATGCTGGCGAGGATGTGGAGAAACGGGCACCCTCCTACACTGTTGGTGGGAATGTAAACTGGTACAGCCCCTCTGGAAAACAGTGTGGAGGTTCCTCAGGAAACTAACAATAGAACTCCCTTATGACCCAGCAATAGCACTGCTAGGAATTTACCCAAGGGATACAGAAATGCTGAGGCATAGGAGCACATGTACCCCAATGTTCATAGCAGCACTCTCCACAATAGCTAAAACATGGAAAGAGCCTAAGTGTCCATCAACAGATGAATGGATCAAGAAGATGTGGTTTATCTATACCATGGAATACTACATGGCAATGAGAAACAATGAAATCTGGCCATGTGTAGCAACATGGATGGACCTTGAGGGTGTTATGCTGAGCAAAATAAGTCAGGCAGAGAAGGACAAATATCATATGTTTGCACGTATAGGAGGATGAGGAGGAACTTGATGGAGGAACAAGGGGGAGAAGAAGGGGGGAAATGGTGGGGGAAAGGGAGAGAAG